TCGGAGCCGTGAGCTCCCTCAGTGTTCTTGTTTCATGAGCCATAGTGATTGGCTCTTCGGTCTCGCTAGATTGAGAATTAGCACTTGATGATTCCTCCGAAGAAGTATTCGGAAATAAATTCCTAAACCTCTCGAAGGCTTGTTCCGTTTGGGGGGTTGTTTGGTAGATGATTTCGTTTATGGATCGGGTTCTTACCATATACTCAAACAAAGCTCAGAAGAAATAGAAATCTTTATATTTCAACTATTTTTTTTTTTTTCTTTTTTTTTTTTTTTTTTTTTTTAAAAAATGGAATAAAAAGAAAAATAAATTGCCTTTCCCCGGCAACGGCGCCAAATTTGACGTGCACTTTGTCGTGAGTGCACTCAAAATAAATTCAATACAAGCACTTATACGTAGTATAGGTGAAGTAGAGTTCGTATCCACAGGGAAAGGAATAACTTTCTTTTTATATAAATAGTAAGTAAAGGGGGGTTTTGATTGTTGAATGATTTAATTAAAATTAAACACGAAGATGAACGAGTTATATGGGATTTAATTCAAAGATAAAAGTGACTTGGCATTGCTACTTTCCACTTGTTGATATATTTTAGTCGATCATTGTTATATCTATAACTTATCTCCTCTCGAATACTCAATCGAGGAGTATATCCAATTCATCGAGGATAGTTATTAACAACGACCGTTCATTAATAACCCTTACTATTAGCCAAGTATAGAACAAGCGCCGTATACTGACTTGATAGTAGCATTTAATCGCTTAACTCCTTGATGAAATCAATTGAGATCGATAACCTCAATACAAGCGGTTTCGGTTTAACCAACACAATTAATCCCTCTTAAGTCTATTAACCACGACCGTGCATTAATAGACCGAAGTTACTTACTTGTGAAACTATCAACGATTAACCATTGGTTCGTTGATCGTCTCTAGTAGTAATTAATATATGAAACAAAACTAGTTGATCCTTTAAGTAATGTTCAAGATATTAATATGAAATATGAATAGGAATTAATTGATACTCAAGGAAGAATATTAAAGAAGATGAATCCTACTATAGTTAATATTAAGATGTTAACTAATTGTCATCTTAGTAACACTCCCCAATATTAACATAGAGGAAGAAATGACTATTACTATAACTAATGTCAAGATGTTAACCAATTGTCATCTTAGCAACACTCCCCAACATTGATATAGAAATAGCATTTAAAGGAAGAATTAATATTCAAGGAAAAGAAGTTAAGAAAATAACTCACAACTTTGATAATCAACAAGCTTCAAGAGCAATACCAAGAAATGGAAGTTTAGCTCCTCATTTGGAGACTAAACATGCTAAAAGAAATATAGAGAAATGCTATTCTAAACTGAGCTTAAGAGTATAAAGGAATTGGTGATCTAAAAGTGAAGGAAAGGAGGTGTATTTATAGGCTTTTTGAGGTGCAGGTCGAGTACTCGATCGAGTATATATACATACTCGATCGAGTATGTGTAGAACATCGAATTCGTTCCATACTCGATCAATACTCGGGTAGTTTTTATAGCTATACCCGATCGAGTACATAAGTATACCCGATCGGGTATAGACACTCGAACGTGGAAAATCTTCTCCTGCATGTTCCTTTGTTTTCGGATCCGATCCGATTTGAAATGTCAACCAGATACCCGATCGAGTATATGTGTATACTCGACCGAGTATAGACCAAAATCAGGATTTTTCCTTCTTTTTGTCTTGTAATCTTGCACCTTCCTTCACCATTGATCATTTGATTGATCTTGGACCTGTTTAAGCTCAGAATAAACCTAATCTAAACAAATTACAAGAATTTAACAAACTAAACTATTACACCGAAAGTGTGTAATTTCCGAGATATTAAACAATCAAAACTAACTAAAAACGTAAATAAACATACGGAAATTACAAACGTATCAGTAATTTAGTACAATTAGCAAAACAAACTTGATTCGGGCCAGTATAAGTAAATTTGGAAGATAAATACCTTCATGCAGAGTCATGTGCGCGGAAGCCCCAGAGTCAGGATACCAGACCAAATCATGCGTCTCACTAGTGGGAAGAGCCGCAAAAGCAAGAGTATTTTGAGAGGTGAAAAAGGAGCAAGTGATGGCGGAGTGACCTGGAGAGAAGCAAAGCTGACAAACAATAGGCGGAGCAGGAGATGGATAGGAGTTCTCAACAGATGGAAAATCTGCACTAACATTATGAGTAACACAAGTAGGAAAGTCATTAGTAAAACTAATACAAGAACTAACATTACTAAATACCAAACCTGCGCCACCAAGGTATGGATGCCCACGTGGAGGAGCCGGTGGCTCGTAAGGTACCCCATACGTCGGATAACCTCCAAAATGTTGCTGATACCGTTGATGTTGCCCTCGGCCACCCCTGCCGGGACCGCCCTGAGGTCTGCCGCCTCGCTTGCCATGACCGCCGTGTCCCCGAGGTGCTCCTTCACCATATCCACGTGGAGCAGGCCCTCGGCCTTGGGGTGCTGGAACTGTCGCGAAGGCTTGATGAACGGTGAACGGGTCTTGGGATTGAGCGGTAACGGACCGGTGCTCCTGTGCCTGAAGAATCGGCCGTAGAGACTCCAATGTAGCATTCCCAGAAAAATAGGATATAGTTGTGATAAGAAATTCATATTCACGTCCCAAACCCAAAATAGCATATTCCATCAAGTCACGGTTACTAATAGGGGAATTAATCATAGCAAGTGCATCAACAATCAACTTAATTTCAGCCAGATATTGGTCCATGGTCTGTGACTCTTTCTTTTTAATGTGACAAAGACCTCTTAAGTTCAACAGACCGAGCAAAACAGGCAGACATAAAATGCATTTCAAGACACTCCCAAATTTGATGAGAAAATTTCAAGTCATATACCTCCATCAAAATATCCCTAGCCAGAGTAGCAAAAATCCAAGACCTAACCGTTTGGTCGATTTTCAACTAGTGGTGATAGTCCGAATTCGTGACGAGCGGTACCCAAATTGAGCCATCTAGGATCTCCAAAAGACTGTGAGAGACCAAGAATGACTCAAATTGGGTACGCCACGGTAAATAATCTTCCACGGCAGAAAGTCGGCTAGTAACAATATTAGTCACATTCGGCGTAGAGAAAGCCAATTGTGAAGATAAAGCAAATAAAGAACCTGTAAATTGTGTAGAGCCCGGCTTGGCCGAGGCATGTTCGTGCGGCAGAGAGGTCACCTACGACTGGGCAATGAAGGTCGGACCAGCGAATCTCATGGAGGAGGGACCAATTTTTGGAGGGGCGTTCAAGATTGGTGGTGGAGGCAGACTTGCTGTCGGTGTCCATGAAAACAGTGCCAGCATGCCAAACAATCGATATGAATCAAGAGGCTGAGAATCAAGACGCTGTCGAAGAGACGGGGCGAGCGGGGACCATGGCAGCGATGCAGTCGTCATGGAGAAGAGAAGGGAAGCTGCGTGTAAGTTGGCGGCGTTGTTGGACCTGGAATCTGTCTGAGTTGTGCTGACGATGATTGATGAAGTAGGCCGCACCGGGGTGGAGGGCGCCTGGGACCGGAGCTCAGTAATCACCGGCGGCTGCTCATCCTGCATGGAGAGCGCCTGGGAGGCGGCAGCAGTATTGCCTCAACCGTTCATGATGAGAGAGAAAGGGAAAAAACTTACACGACTGATACCATATACAGAAATATGATTTTGGGAATAATAGCTTACCCTATTGAATGCACTAGCCTTGTATTTATAATAAAACATAGTTATAGAAAATTACAAAATAATCCCTAAATATTACATTATTATTATTTACGGTAATAATAATTACCACAAGACTTTATATATTTAGAATTCCTTAAATATGACTTTGGAACTGTTATGACCTCCAATTTGAATATTTGATAACATGAAAACCCAAGATTTCTAATTTGCATCTTCTCCAGGCGGCTCACTACTCACTACTTTGCTTATACTACTATCGTATATTCCTAATTTAGCCTCCTAGTTTCTACAACCTTCCTTCAACTATTTCCAATAATGGTATCCCAACCCGCTTAGTCGTCATCTAAAAATGTTTGATCTCTTTCAGTGGGATCACCTAGCGACTATCTTCATATAAGAAATAGTGGGATCGCCTAGCGACTAGCTTCATAGATACAAGTGGTACTAAATAAAGAAATTATCCTAAATTAAAGTATAAACTTGGACTCATATAATTTTTACTCACCAGGTAGAAATAATTATTGTCATGTTTGGATTTTATAAAACTTTAAATATGACAGTAGTTTCCAATTTTTTTGAAGAGAAGTTTAGTACTTTTTCGTCCGTTGATACTTTGTTAACTTTTACTTTTTGGGTATTTCACTAGCTTTGCCGCTGAACATGACACTAACTTTGGATCCCTTAATTCGATCTTCTCTTCACAAACTTCATCAACCACATAATTGGTTACTTTATTATTCCACATGCAGGTCAAACTTCACTAAGTTTTAAGAGATGAATGGAGTAACAATTAGTGCTATTTTAAGAATAAAAATGTGAGAATTCTATTTTGAATTTTCAGAATGTTATGATAAAATTCCTAACATGGATGAAAACCTAGTCACTAGCTTACCTTAAAATTTTGTCAACTTTCTTTTTTTCAATGTCCACTAACTTTGTCACTTTATTTGTCTTTAAGTAAAAAATTTACGGGTTCAGTTAATTCTTTCTCCTCTGCACAAGATTCAAACCACACAGTTTTTATTTTAATAATTCAATTAAACTTGACAAAGTTTTTATTTCCTAAATGGGAAAATGAATAAAAGCCCGAGCAGCCTGTTACGACCCAAATTAGAAAGTATTGTTGTACTAGTATTTATACACACTCACATGTCCTTGGCACCTTGTGCCTCAACCGGCAGGTCGTTTGTACTGACAACAAAAATTGCACCTTTTTTATATATCGGGTACCATACAAAAGAGACCGAAATTATTATTATCAATCATAAAATGAAGGGAGGAAGATATTCAAAGGAAGGAAGTAAAGCAGGGTTGGTGGGAATAGAAAAAAAGATCGAGAGTTTAAGAGCAGAAGATCCTCCTCTTTCTGGTGCATATATTCGGAGCCTCGTGAAGCTGCAGCTGACTTCCTCCTCCTCCTCCTCGGGAGATGGGTTTACAGAAGTATTGGCGGCCACACCGCCGCCGCCACAACGCAAAAAACAAGCCCGGAGAAGACTCCATACCACCAGACCGTATCAAGAAAGGCTTCTAAACATGGCGGAGGCGAGGCGGGAAATAGTGACCGCCCTTAAGTTCCACAGAGCAGCCATGAAACAGAAGCAGCAGCAAGGGGAACAACCCGCAGAGAGGCGGCCATTGGAGAGGAGCTGCAGCTTTCCTGCAGCTCCTCATCCAGGGCTGCCGCCACCATTTGAGCGGCAGCAAGAACAGATGATGAAGTTCGATTCAAGAAGCCGGGTTATCTGCCCACCCTTCTCCTCCTCGTCCTCGTCCTTGTCCCCGCCATCTCACCATCATCATCCGATGGGTTACTATTACTCTGTTTCTCCGCCCCCGCCGCCGCCGGTCCAAGAAAACCTCACCATCGATATTGCAAACCAGCAGCAGCTACCCTTGGGGCTGAATCTGAATTTCCAAGATTTTGACAATTTGGAGGCTACTCCTTATTATGTGAGCCCATCAATTGCGGATGATCGGTCTCCGTCTTCGTCGAGCCTTCCTCCCTCGGCGGAGGATATGCATCATCCCGCCCTGGATGAGAAGGAAATATCAGAGATAAAGTCAATAGGGGAGAAAGAGCAGATGGAATGGAATGAAAACATGAATTTGGCCACCTCATCTCTGTGGTTAGAGTTCTTGAAAACCGTAGAGATTGGGTCCCCTGGCGAAGGCGAGAAGGAGAAGAAGAAGAGGAATGGTGATGATGATGAGGATTACTACTCTTATGGTGATAACAATGGATGCTGCAGCTATCCATTATTTCAGGAGGCGGTGGACTTCCCGGCCACCGCTGCTGCGTGGTTTAATGATGGCTGTTTGGAAGAACCCAACTTGAACGAGGAGATTAATCGTTGTCATCACGATGATAAATGCTTCCAAAATCCTGCCTTGCCATGGTACGTAAATTTTTCTCCCCCGCACTGCAGTTCTTTCGTTTTTAGGAATAATAATAGATGGATTATGAAGCTAGCGATCAAAGAAAACAAAGGAAATATACAGGGGTTTAACGTCTATTCAAATGGCAGGTTACAAAAATCTTGATGGACCCACTACACACAAAATATGCTACTTCCGTTCTCTTTTAAATGCAACGTTAAGACTTTTTGCACTATTCACATGTTCTACTTTGACTACGTATAATGTAATAATATATATTTTTGAAAAAAATATTATTAAATTTTTCTCATTATAAATTTTCAAAATTTATTTTTAAATTTTTTTTTACTAATCGGGAATTATATATATTAATGGTCAAAGTTGTGTCTCGACAAATGTGAAATGTTGACTGTTGCATTTATTTAAAAACGGAGGAAGTATATGATGACGACCCCGGTACCCATTTAAAAAATGAGATATTGTATCTACCATTAACTTGATTGGTCCAAATCATTATACGGAGTATCTTTTATTAATTTAGATTTACATAATTTTACTGCATCATTCTGATTAATCCATATGGACAAAAGTATGGTACTTTAGGGACATTTCAACAATTTCATTTAAGGATGTTTGACTAGCATACACCCTCCTCCTATTTTGATTGTCTTATTTTTCATTGTTAGTTAGTCTAAATGAATGTCATGTTTCACTATTTGGCAAGAAATAAGTGAATCGTATCATTTTACTTTATTCTAATCAAATTTTAATCGCAATTTTTAATTTTATAACCATCCTGACCTATTAATAATTGTGTCAAAACAAAACAAGACAACCATTATGTTTCACAACAAAATCTCCCCCACAACTAATGATTTATTGTATTGTACTTGCTACAACAAAATCTCCCCCACAACTAATGATTTATTGTACGTAGTATTGTACTTGCTACTTAGTACTACGTATATTATTATTACCCCAAACAGTTCAAATGACTTTCAAGAATATATGATGCAAGGGAAAACTATATTTTCGCCTATGGGTATATAATTAGTGTCACATTTAAATGCAGTATATACTATCACTTTTAAAGTTTCATAATGCTCAAATAATGCTCAAATATGACAGTAAGCCAGCCACTAAGGTTTGTGATTGACAATATTGAGGAAAACAAAATACCCATAATCTAAAATTTTGCATTTCGTTTACTCTTATTTCGGATATTTTCTACTTCGTTTATACTATTGTATATTTTAGTTTCTAACTTGAATTTAGGACACCCAAATACTCTCAATGTCGTATGTTCAAAACTCATATGAGTAAATATGTTTAATTTAATAGAATAAATACTAGAATAAGAGAGAAAGAACCGTAAAAAAACTCTAATTCCACACACATATAGAATTAGGTTCAAGTGAAAAAGTGATCTTAGGAAAGAAATGAGAATGAATCTGGACCGTTGGATTGTTTTCTATGAAATTGAATATGCATTAAGTGAAACTAAAATTTGCATTAGTTGAAATTGAAATGTGCAGTACAAAAGGTAAGACAATGTGGTATCATGTGAAGGTGAATTGTGCATTAGGAAAAACTGGAAAAACTGAAATGTGCACTATGTGTCTATGTGAAACTGAAATTTGTAGAATAAAAACTACGTACAGTGGTGGCATTTTTGTGCCTTTTATCCTGCACATTTTAATTTCCCGCAATGCACATTTGAGTTTTACTGTTCATCTGTACATTTCAATTTCACTTAATGCACATTTCCATTTTTTCAAATGCACAATTCAATTTCACATAATACAATCCAACGGCCTAGATTTATTCTCATTTCTCTCCTGGGAATCCTTTCTCACTGGAACCACTCCCTATTACCCTATGTGTGTGTATCCTATAATATTCGGGTGCAAGGTGGTATTTATTCATGGTGACAACTCCGGTACCTTTCTAAAAATAGAGGTACCTTACCTAGCATTTATTTGATTGGACCACATCACTTTATCAATTTTAATTTAGATTTAAATGATTCAACTGCTACCTTTTCATTGGTCCATGTAGACAAATGTACGGTACCTTATGGGTACCATAGAAACCACCTTTATTCATTTTGTTCTATTGTTATTCATTGTGCAAGGTGGTATTTATTCATTGTTCTATTGTTCTATTTATAAATAGTACTACCTTCGTCCCCTAAGTTTGGGACAAAGTAGTGTGGTGTAGTTTTTAAGAAAAAGTTGGATTGTGTGGTTGGTATTGAATTGATAAAGTGTAAATAAAGTAGAAATGAATTCTAACCACTCAAATATTACCAAATATGGTAATATGGGACAAACTTAGAGGAACGAAGGGAGTACTGCGTGATAAAAAGAAATTGTTTGTTTGAACTTATTTTGTAAGTTTGTGAGGGTTACATGCCGGAATGATGCAAGGTGTTACATAGGTAGGGTGGAGTAGTCAGTCGAATCAACAATTCAACATCATCATCATCTTCTATTTATGAACCTTAGCCATTCGGCTGAGGCTTGTTGTTATTGGCTCTTTGTTGTGGCATGCAGCTAGAGATCAAGCAATGAAACAAAATATGCATGGCCCACTGAAACCCCATCCCCCAGTGCCGGAGGATCCAATCTTATACACCGACCCCATCCCCCATTTCACTAATGATTTATTTGGAGCGGCCTGCTTTGGATAGAAATCCCAATCTTATACTACCTCCATAACTTAAAAACCTTCCATTTCAAAAGTAGGTAGATTAAGAATAATGAAAGAGTATATGGATTATTGAGGGTATGATGGGAAGATAGTGGAATAATGTGATAGAATGTAGGATAAATCCAAAAAAAATAGTTGTAATAGTGTATTATTTTGAAAATTACTGAGGGTATGATGAGAAGATTTAGAAATGAGAAGATTTTTTTGTTACGGACGAAAAAGGAAAGTGAGAAGATTTTTATGTTACGGAGGGAGTACTTGATAGTTAGTAATTTTTTTTGGATCGTACCCCAATCTTATACGGAGTAAATTAAAAAGCATATTACAATTTAATCAACTATATACTCCGTATACATTTACAAAAATTATGCATTTCAATAAAATATACTCCGAAATTGAGAAAATACCAAAAGTAAAGGTTTTATAGTCCGTACAACATAAAAATTAGTTGAGTAGACAATTAACATGTGTCAATAGTTTGCTTCTACGGTTTATTCAATGAAAATTGAATAAAAACTATAAAATAATTAATTTAAACACATAAAAAGCATAAAGTTGTTTATTAAAATACGGAGTATAAGAATTAAAGAAACATAAAACTAATACTCTCCGTCCGAAATTGGAGGTCCTATACTTTTTGGGCTCAAATATTAAGAAAAAGTGGTAGAAAGACCCATGTAATCTTACTTTATTGTACTATTCACCCCTTTACTATTACTGTTCATTAAAAAGGAGGGATATAAATAATAGTCTACTTTAACTTCTTTACCAAAAAGGGAAATGCGACTATCATTTTGGAATACGACAAATAGAAAATACAGGATCATCATTTTACTACTTGGTATTAAAATTTAATACCGTACATACTATACTAGTAATATAATACGACAAAAATGGGGGGCCCAGTAATCATGGAGCCGCTGCTATGTTCCGAATAACACAATGAACTTCTATTAGCCTGTTTGATCCTCTTGAATGTGGTTCCTTAATAAAGAAACTCCTCACAAAATTTCATAAAAAACTTAACTCAATAAATAACCGGTCATGCAAAGGAACTTTGGAGGTTGGAGGCAATTAATTATATTAATGAATTAGATTAAGTGTTTTAAGGGTAGAAAACTAATGTTTAGTTCTATTTAGGGAAGATTTAAGAGAAATTGCTCCCAATAGGAGTAAAACATACTACATTTCCCTAAATAGCAGTTAACTTCTAAAATTCTCCAAATAGGAGTAAACATTAATTTTTACCCCTAATTACCCCTATTGTAATTAATTATTGCCCCCTAGTTCCCTTGGGCAACAAGGGCAGTCCGTCGGTGGCGGGGCAGGGTGTTGGTAGCGGCAGCAGTCAGGTGGTGGCGGTGGCAGGAGGCGGCGGTGGCAGGAGGCGGCGGCCGGCGGTGGAGCTCCGGCGACCGGTGGAAACCTTTATTCTAATCAACCATTGCCCCCCCTAGTTCCCTTGGGCAACCAAGGCAGTCCATTGGTAGCGGGGCAGTCCGGCGGCGGCGGCAGAAGATTCCAGCGGCGGCGGCGAACTCCGGCAGAGAACTCCGGCGGCGGCGGCCGGCGACGTTCGGAGGCAGAAATGCTAGGAAACTTCCAAGGGCAAAAGCTGGAAAATTTTCCGGCGGTAGTCGCCGGAGCTCCGGCGGCCGGCGGCGGCGGTCCGGTGAAGTCTGGCTGGCGGCGGAACTGTAGCAGCAGGCAGCAACTGGCAGGGTATCCTTGTCCATTTACAAAAAAGATACTCCTATTTTGGGAATTTTAAAACTCTACTCCTATTTTTGCACAAGTCCTATGTTTTACTCCTATTTTGGTAATTGCCCCAAGATTTAATGTGTAAGTTTAATTTTATATAGGGCAATTACTATTATTTTAATTGTATGTTCGAAGTTTATGCAGTATCGAAGATATTGAAGAGAATGACGGGGAGTGGCTAGCCGGAGAAGAATAAGAATGCTTGGTTTTCAAGCTCCAAATTTTGTTCTCGAAGCAATGAATCCTTATTTTGCAATTTATGTGTTGTGCCCATTTGTTGTTTTATGCCTTCAAGTAATAAGGGCTTTGTAGAGCGTGAGAGGTTGATAGTGAGTAGATGAGATTGATGAGAGTAATAATATATATTACTCTTCTCGATCTCATCTACTTACTACCGACCGGAAGACCATGAGAAAAGATCTTGTGAGATTGATACTCATTTATTTATAGTTGAAGTAGTGACGCTTAAAACTGGTTTTGAGAAATGGTACCGCAGCCAAACAACACCAATGCAGAAAAATATTAGTATGTGACTTCATCTTTCTATTTTGAGAATAAAAGATTGCCGATAAGTGATATTAGTCCAATTTTTCAGCCTAGCCCATAAAATAAAATCTAACCATCTAAAAATCTAATCTAAATGTATATACATCACCTCCCACTTATAAGAGCCATAAAACCCATAAATGTAATAAATACAATAAAATATGATTCAATTAAGAGCTTGATTGGCATGGCATGTTCACAACAACTTGTAAAGTGTTTGAGTATCTTCAAGTAGTGCATTGCCCAAAAGTTAGTTCTCGGACAGAAGTTCTTAATGTATATAGACACTTTCCATGTTTTGAAACTGTGTTCAATTTACTTTTTATGCACAAAGTTATGGAATAACAAGTATTCTTTGTCAAGGCCTTCAAAAAAATTATTGAATATCTTGGTAGTCATGTGATATGTTTCTACTACACAACTTATTTTCGGGGGAATTGACATAAAATGGATGAGAATGTTTTCTTAAAGAAGTAAATGAGTTTTACTCAAAACACGAAATTCATGTACCTAAGGTGAATTCTAAATGAATGGTTGGTCGTTGCCAATAAGAAACTACAGTTGAGCGTCATTATCACATTGATATTTTCAATAAGGCAATAGACTTTATATTGATGGAGTTAAGGACCTGATTTAATGATAAATCAGTGAAACTTCTTTCTTTGAATGCTTCATTGGATCCCAAAAATTCACGTGTCATTCAATGTCGATGCTATTTGTACTCTTGCAAGGAGTTCTATCCCCAAGATTTTAGTAGTCAGGATATTCATGCTTTGGAATTCGAGCTAAAACACTATGCTCATGATGTGATTCATGATACAAAGTTTCAACTTTTAAGTGAATTATGTGAGGAGTTGACTATGAGTATAAGATCCGATTCATATGTTATGATGATCAGATTGATTCGCCTTGTATTAATCTTACTGTTTCTACTGCAACACTAGAACGATCATTTTTTCCATGAAACTAGTAAAGACAACACTTTGCAACAAAATGGATGATAACTTTCTTGCTGATTGCATGATACGTTATATTGAAAAACACCTTACTCTTAGTATAGATGTATACTCTATTATTGACAGAGTTTTTTTTTTTGTTTCAAAGCCACATCGAGAACAAATTTAAGGAAAAACTCTTATATATATATTTTGGTAATTTTAATTTTTTTTAGTGTATTACTCCCTCCGTCCCATTTATATTGTCCCGTTTTACCTTTTCGGGAAGTCCCACTTAAATTGTCCCATACCATATTTGGCAAAGTTTGTGTGGCTCTAAATCATTCTTACTTTATTCTTACTTTATCAATTAATATCAACCACACAAACCCACTTTTCCTAATAATCGTGTCACCCTCTTCCGTCCCAATATAAATGGGACGAAGGTAGTATCATGTAAAGTGTTTCAGCCCACCCCAGCATGAAATCCTGGATCCGCCCCTGCCTCTATCCACCACAACTTGCCAACTTATATTTGAATCATCCAATCAAAAGATATGAATAAAATTGTTTAAGGTCGCATTCTGAAGTCGCAACAAGGATTATCTGACTTCATCGTCTGTTTTCACCTTCTTCCTGTCAGATTCTCACAATGGTGTATTCATATGATTTGTAGCCTTTGAAGTTAGCTTTCATTTGGAACTTGAATCGTGTCATTTGATGTTTCTTGACGTGCACTTTGTCGTGGTGTGCACTCAAAATAATAATACAATACAACAATTATACGTAGTATAATGAAGTAAGGTTCGTATCCGCAGGGAAATGAATACTTCTCTTTTTATAAACTAGTAACAAGGGGGGTTTTAGATTGAGTGAATGAACTTAAATTATATTTAAACACAAAGATGAACGAGTTATGTGGTTTAATTAATGAGAAGAAGACTTGGCTTTGCTTTTATCCACTTAATGAAATGTTCGTCGATCCCGGTTATATCTTTAACTATCTTTCTCTCGAATACTCAATCGAGGAGTATATCCAATTCATCGAGGGTAGTTATTAATAACGAGACGCGTTCATTAATAAAACTTACTACCGAGTTAATATAGAACACGCGCCATATATTCACTCGATAGTAGCAATAAAATAGAGATGAAAACGATTGAGATTGATAACCTCAACACAAGCGGTTTATCGGTTTAATCAATATAATTAATTCCCCTTAGGTTATTAACCATGAGACGCATGCATTAACAACCCAAGTTTACTACCGTGAAAGGATCGAATTAATAACAAGCGTATTAATCGACCGATTCTAGTATTAATTAATATATAAAACAAAACTAGTTGATCCTTTAAGTAATGCTCAAAATATTAATATGTAATAGGAATTGGAATTAATTAATATTCAAGGAAGAAGATTAAAGAAAATAACTCACAACTTACAATTCATTAAGCTTCAAAGTAGCAAAACCAAGATGGAAGAGTTTAGCTCCTCATTTGGAGACTAAACATGAAGAAAATATAAAGAAATAACTTGTCTAAACTGAGCTTAGAAGTATATAGGAATTGGTGGTTTATTGTGGAGGAAATGGGGTGTATTTATAGGCTTTTTAGGCTTGCATGGTCGTGTACCCGATCGGGCTATAAGGGCACTCGATCGGGTACTCGGTTGCTTCGCAGAATTGTAAAAAAACTGGGACATACCCGATCGGGTATGTCGGCTACCCGATCGGGTATAGACACTCGATCGTGGTCAAAATCTCCCCTGCATGTTGCCTTGTTCCTGGGTTGATCCGATTTGATTTTTCAGCGACTTACCCGATCGAGTATATGGCATACTCGACCGGGTACAATACCAAAAATCAGAATCTTCATTTTTTCTTGGAATTTTTGCACCTTCCCTACACTTGTGATGTTCACCAATGGTCCCTAGAGTGATGTTGGACCTGTTTGAGCTCAGAATAAACCTAATCTAAACAATTTACAAACATTTTACAAACTAAACTATTACACCAAAAGTGTGTAATTTCCAAAGTAACAATCACTCTAAACTAATTAAAAACACAAAAGTAAACATGGAAATTACATGAATGTCATTTCTACAAAAAGATATGCTGGAATGATTGACAGAAGGTCATCCTGATCGTCGCTTTCAAGCTCTATACGTCTTCTTTTGATCCCATAGCCAATTCTAGAGCTCTTTTGCCTTCAAATCTTCATTGTGAACCTCCTGGTGACCTCCAAAGCTCTCAATCCACTCTCGGATGCATCTCGAATCATCCCGATTGCTCCTCAAGCGCCGGTGTCGGACTCTAAATTCTTGATTTTGACTCTCAACGACATAAAACTCCAACCAACGCCTGGTAAACATTGCTTGAGCCAAAATTGAGACTTTTAAACCCTTAAAGCTAGGAAAACCATCAAAAGCCGATCCTAACACGCATCAAATGTGTGTCGAAATACGGACTTGTCAATGGGTGACCCCCTAGGAAGTTTCTCATGGCGCACACGAGTAAGCACAAAATGCGCGGTAGAGACTTGTGGTGGTTTGTGAGGACAGCACTAGAGGTCTAGAGAGTTTGTTGAAGTAACTACCTTGGGGGGGCCTAGCTAGGGCGTGCATATTATTGGCAAACATCAACTGATATGATTCATCATCTGATCTATGGCCATTTATAGTGCCCTTGGAATGCTTCTATTTGGCTTCCAAAGATCGGAATGTCGGTGGAGTTGTAGTTGTCAATTGCGCAGTGATAGACTCTGGAGCCGTGGTCTGCAAGAAGGTAGCCGATGTATCCATCCAAAACTGACTCGAGCCAGAGATGTGAAGCGGTTGTGATTGCGACCACCTTTGGCGAGAGAGATGAGATCTAGTGGCGGATTTAGGATTTAGTTTTTAAGTGTTCAATGTATTTACAATTAAAAATTTAAAGAAGAATAAATATATTTATATTAAATTACACATATATTAAAAAAAATTGGGTGTTCATGTGAACACCTTGAAACAATACCAGCTCCGCCACTGGCAAGACCTTGTCGATTTCAAGCTGTCAGGCTCATTGAACAATTCTTTAGTAGTGGTGAATGTGGCCGTGTTGTCGATGAGGGTGCAAAGATGGAGAAGTTGGGGAAGCTATTCTATTAATTTTAATATGAAATACTAAAATGAAGGGTAAAATTGGAAAGTAATAATAGAGTTTAATGAAATAGAATTAATCAAACCACGTACAGCAATGGACAAAACATGACCAAGTTCTATTTGTGTAAGCTTTCATTGATTTAGTGTTACAAAGAGCAATTTAGCAATAAAGAAAGCCTTGCAATAGACATTGTAGCTAGCTAACTCGTAGTGTCTTACCGGCCGGCCGGCATTTAATAGACGTAATAACAAGATATAGTACGTACGTGCGTGCATGCATGCTTTGATGCATATACAAAGTAACAATTAAACAGGATTGATAATTATAAATAATATTGTGATGATAATAAATGGTTTGTGGAATAATTTAAAATAAGCTAGGATCAAGGGTAGAGAGCCTGCGGGTAGGCCTCAAGGCGGTCGAGCCAAGGGTTCCTGTGGGTGGGTTTCCTAACCCGGCGGACGGCCTTCCAGACGGCGCTGTTGCACTTCAAGCCGGAGCCGAAGGCAATCTGCCAAACGCGGTGGTTGCGCTTAACGGCGCCCTTGGCCTCCATGTAAGCGAGCTCGTACCAGATGCTGCTGCTGGAGTTGTTGCCGAAGCGGTGGAGGGAGGCGCGGGAGGCCTCCATGTTGGCGTCGGTGAGGCCGAGGTTGCGCTGGAGCTCGTCCAGGATGGTCTTGCTGGCGGCGTGGACGCAGAAGTGGTCGAAGGCCAGCTTGTAGTCCGGGATGTAGGGCTTCTTCGGGGATTTCGTTTTGGAGGCGATGAGGTTGGCGAAGAAGATGAGCTGCTCCGAGAAGGGGAGGACCAGGGGCCCCAGGGTGGTGATGTTTGTCTTCAGCGCGTCGCCGCCGATTTCCACCACCTCTTTGCTTATCTTCAGTCCCTTGTGCCGCTCTTCGTCTTCGTCTTGGTACACGCACCTAATTCCATCAAATTTAAAACATCAATTTATTTAATTTGAGAAAAAAAGAAATTGATTTAATTTATATAGCCCTATTTAATTATGTTTGTAATTGGACTTAAATTTGGTGGTTTGATATAGTGTGATCTGATCTAATATGGTCTCAACTAATCTAATAGATGCCTAAACTCATTGGAAATATAGAGTATATTTTACAATGAAGTACGTATTATCTTAAATAAGTTTAATTCGCAATATCTTAGAATATAAACAAAATTCAGATTAACGACATTTTAATTTTCTTGGAGTAGGAGTCGTTTAGTCTTAACAAAAGAATGAAAACAACACAATCTCCAACTTTAAGGAGCAGATCAATCATATTTTTGAAGAAAACAACATTGTCTTATTGGAGAAACTTTATTATGTAGAACTATCTCGGTCTCTAAGAACTTTGAGATCATTGACTTTTCAAATCAATGGTAGTAAAGTTTGGACCATTATTTTGATCAGTATAACACGAAGTATTATGAAAGTACAAAATTTTATACATTATGGAAGTACTTTTAACAAAGAATGTTTTCATATAATTTTTATATTATAAATAATTCCCTATAATAATATATAATTGGTCAATGTTAAACACTGTTAACAGAAAACATCAAAGATGTAATATCATAGTACGTAGTTGACAAAGTTTTAAGAGACGGGAGTTTGGAGTACATAGTATCATTGTGGCGAGGTGCCATGATATAGACATTCAAACTATCACAAATTTAAGTTCGATTTCAATACTATTTTACGGAAATGAACTCTAGCTAATTGTAAGCATTAGGGTATATTTGCTTTTTAGTAACTGTTAGCTTTTAGTGACTGAAAATATCTTAAAAAGAAAAGGTGTTAGTTGTTTGGTGAACAGCCGACTGTTTGATTTAGTTTTGTTTGGTATACAAGTTGTTAGAACAAATTAATACTAAAGTCACGGTCTTTTCGTACTCCGTATTTTTTTTGGATAAAATGTAAACATATATATCCAAAAAATATAGCATAATACAATGCATCAAAAAAGACTAAACTATCTAAAGTGTGTATATATAGATATATACTCTATATATATAGCCTAAATCCGAATTAGTAGCATTGATGTATTGAAAAAACTATCTAAAACTGGTTTTAGATTTTTCTCAAACTTTCATACACTTTAATTTCCTGACTATTACTAACTAATTGAATAAGGTAATGGGCAAAAGCGTGTATTCAATTATAGGCCTAGACATCCATTTACAAAAAACATCGTGAATAAATTAAATAACCACAGATATGCATATATATATATATATATATATATATATATATATATATATATATATATATATATATATATTCATGCATGTCCATAATTCAATGATTCAATCTTTTATGTGAATACATTTAAAGAAACTATTCTAAATAGGAATAGGAATAAAATTTAAACAATGTGCACATATAAAAGCATTTGTGTTTTATTTCAAAAGTAAGAATGATTTCATTATTATTTTGAACGTTGGTTCCCTGTCTGTCTGTACTCATAAATTTAATGTCCCGTGGACGGGTCAACTTTTGAAAACAGTCTTAATTGGAGGGAGAGGTGTACGTATGGAATGCATGAGAGTGAATTAATGAAAGAGCAAATGCCCACCCACAGTACCCAGACGGTGGCCATAAATATGTGATAGGCCGGGCAGTTCGCCTGCCTTGCTGGATGGCTGGCCGGCTGCTTTTAAGTGTCAATCAATAATTTCATTTAATTGACTTCATATATACTCGTATATATCACTTTTTTTATTTATTTGTTGCTACTGTTTTTATTTAATTCCCCCAACCACCAGATATGATATGTCTGCATACTACATTCCAATACATATACCATACGACGAAACGTGTTGTATACGTAGTCCTTTCTATTTTTGGACGAAGCCCTAAGGCAAGTGGGATTAAATGGCGACATATTTCGGGTTGGTTTGAATTATTGCACCAAACGGGAATAAAACGTGACTGAGGTGCACAAATACTCTAAAAGTGAGAGCCATGCAGACCTCGTCTATAAAAGTTTTTAAAACTCTTTTTAATAGGAGTCATCTAATCCTAATCCTAGTTAATAAAAGAATGAAAGTAATTTTAACCGGAAATGAATCGTCTGTGAAGATGAAAACGTAATAGCAATTTAACTTGAGAAAGTGTTACTACTCCATCCGTCCAAATTGATTTGTTAAGTCATCATTTTTTTGCAACCAATGTTAAATTTAATTCTCCCTGTGAATATTAATTCAATTTTTAATAAATATAATCTCTTCAAAGTTACAAATTTTAAATTACAATATAAGTAAAAATTAACATCATAATTAAGTGAATACAATGAGACAAAAAAACAATTGTGCAAATCAAGTTGAAATCGATAATCCTATCATGTTGGAACGGTTGTTATATGTGATTATAACTATCATGTTCAATAATCCTATCTCTTAATTAGCTGGAATGTAGCTATCGAATTAAATTAAATACAAAATTACTTAAATATGAAAATCATGTAGAAATTATATTTCTAAAAAATAAATGTTATATTTTCATAAAAGTATAAAATCTATAAACCACATAAAAATATTGTTGTTAAAAACATTACTACATCTATACGAAGTTGAGTTGTAAAATTGACATTTTTAGTCAAATAGATTTACTTTATTTGCTTAATTATGATATCATTTCTTAATTGAAGTTTAATTTGGATTTTTCATGTTAAATATGTAAATATTAATTATTAAAGTTGAATTAATTATCATAGAGGGATTTAACTTTATTATTGATGGACCAAAAAATATTGACTTTGCAAAACAATTTGGAAGATGAAGAGAGTATGTATAAGGATGTACATTTTAATTGGATTAAATTCAATCATAGGTTAATCTAGACAACATGAAGAATTAGATGAAGGTTGTATTATTAAAATCTACTACCTCCATCCCAAAAAATTCTTCTCAGTTTGACATGGCATGTATATTAAGAAAGTGGGAATAAAGTGGTTGAGTAAAAAAAAGTAAATGAATATTAGTTACACAAATCTTTCCAAAGAGGGAAATGGGAAGAATTTTTTGGAGTATCTCAAAATGTTAGGTGAGAAGAATTTTATGAGACGGAAGAAGTATTTATTTCATTAAGTCAATTTTGCAACTAACTCAATTTGGCACGGTGAAAGTACTCAATTTGGCACGGTGAAAGTACTAACATAAAATAGATGTATATCAAACTATATATACTAGCTAGATGAGATCATTTTAAACAAGACTTGCTTTAAGCTATTAAATTTGAGTAAAATTGATCATCAAACTTTATTTATACGAAGTGGGAAAAGAAAAGAAAATGCAGGGGAGGAGCTAGGTTATTAATGGTGGAGTGAGGCGGCGTACCTAAAGGCACGATCGTCGGCGCCTTTGTGAGTGCGAACAATGTGCTCAAGGGTGTACTTGGCGCGGGCGAAGTCGCGGCGGCGATTGGAGAGGAGGAGGGCGGAGCAACCCATGCGGAAGAAGCAATTGGGGAGGAGCATGGAGCGGTCCTTGCCGGGGTACCAGTTGAAGCCGACCATCTCAGTGCTGACGACGAGGGCGTAGTTGTTAGGGTTGGCCTGGAGCATGTCGCGCGCGAGGTCGAGCGCGATGATCCCGGCGCTGCACCCCATCCCCCCCAGGTTGAAGCTCAGGATGTTCCCCCTCATCTTGTAGTGGTTTATGATCATCGCCGACAGCGACGGCGTCGGGTTGAAGATGCTGCAGTTCACCACCAGCACTCCGATGTCCTTCGGCCGGATCCCCGTCTTCTCCAGCACCTCGTCTATCGCCCCGAACATCACCATCGACGCCTCCGCCCGCCCTTCCTTCATCGTCGCCGTCTTCTCCGCCGACCCGATCGACTTCGGCACGTACGTCTCCTCCCCGATGCCCGACGATTCCAAGATTCTCTTCTGGAACTCCAGGCTTGCTTCGTCGAATTTCCCCGATTTTCGAGCCAACTCGATGAACTGCTCCTTTGTTACCTGTGCATGCATTTGTGTGCATGTCATCCATCGTTAATTAACAAGCATTTAGAAATAAATTGTTCGTAATTGAATTATAGAAAGAGTAAAGCATACTCAAAAATACATAATACCAGTGTGTCATTTAATAAATTTGTGATTTATTTACCATTCATGTGTTGATGTTCTAAACCGTGAATAAGCTAAGGTTCTTCCTCATTGTTCATCTGGCCAACTAAATTCGTTTTTAACTTTTTTATTTTTTTTATCCAAATTTTTTCAAATATGAGATTTTTGGATTTTATAAAATTTTCAATGTACTTCTTGAATATAAAAATGTATTTACTAAAAATAATCTTTTTATATTGATAGAGATTAGTTAGTTTTACATTCATTTAAACATTTGTAAACCAAAACGGGAATTTTATTGTGGGACTAGAAATTACTATCCTCCGTCTCTTTTTAATCGCAACATGTTGAATTTTACACTATTCACATGTCTTACGTTGACTACATTTTATATAATTATTTTATGAAAATTATTTTTTTAAAAAAATATTGTTCAATTCATCTCATTACAAAATTTCAAAATCTAATTTTTAAATATTTTTTACTAATAGAGATTAAGATATAATTACGGTCAAAGATGTGCATTGGCAAGTGTGAAATGTTGACCGTTGCAACTAAAAAAGAACGGAGGAAGTACATTTTATTACTAGTCAAGATGACAATTCTCGTCTTAATTTCCACAGTCATTATGGTAGCATATGTCCATCGAAATGACATTTATTTTGCTATCAAACAAGATGTTCTTATTGTTTGATGACGATTATCTCACCTGATTTTTGTAAGTTGGCTTGATGCCTCCTAGCTTGATGATGATATTATAACTTGATATATAATGGTTGTATGAAGTATAATTTTTATTCACGATGACATAATACTACGTACTCGTATTTACTTTCACTTCTACTTTTATTTTTACCAGATATGGCAATCACGGTCCTGTTTTCCACTTTCTCAATTTTGTAATCAAATTGGGGTCTTCGATCTTCTCTTATTTTAAAAATTAAAATGCTTTAATTGAATTTATAAAAAAAACAAGTTTGATATGTTTAAGTCAGATCTTAATTAGTTTGATTTGCTAGATTTTACTCCTGTTTTATATACTTAATACTATCCTCCATTTTTTTATCGCAACATGTTGAATTTTACACTATTCACATGTTCTACTTTGACTACATTTTACGCTATTATTTAGTGAAAATTATTATTTTTTTAAAAATATTGTTTAATTCATCTCATTACAAATTTTCAAAATCTGATTTTTAAATTTTTTTTACTAATAGAGATTAAGGTATAATTACGGTCAAAGACGTGCGTGGGTAAGTGTGATCAAAATGTTGACCGTTGCAACTAAAAAAGAATGAAAGAAATATGTTTTACTATTGATCTAAGTTTTATCTTGGTTAGTCTAGTTACTTTTTTTTTTATCAGCTAGTGTAGTTTCTTTTAATTACGTAAGATTCCAAACTTTCTTTTCTTGAATAAAAAATATTAACTGCATGTTAGTGTGCGTTTTTGCCTGGCCGGATTGTCGTAGATATAGTGAGGTCATGCGACTTATGGTCGGGTGACCACAATTTTATTGAATCTAACCAAAAAATTACCGGATCCGGATTATTTTTTTATTTGTAGGATAAAGTTGAAAGAATTTATAATTATCGCCGAGTGAAAACTGAATAGCATCTAATCAGATTAATTCGATCAATATCCTTAGCTAATTGGAAAAATAAATTAAACTCTTAAATTTGAGGATCCCATGCATGCATGGATTAGTGGCCCTAAGTTAATTGGAAAGTATTAAATCAGGTAATTAATATCAATAAAATAAAAATAAGGTAATATATATTATATACTTGTAGGTATGTGTGACTTTATCAGTGGTCAAACGTTAATTATTAACTGAAAGAGGCCGAATATTCTTCGTGTAACACCAATCAAAAGAAAATAAAAAAAGAGAAATTTACCTAATAGATTAAAACTAAAATAAAATTCATTAAATAGGACTCCGATTCATTCACTTTTATCAATTTAGTCTATTAATATGACCAAACAAATCCTTTTTGGTGAATAAAACATATTTGGTCATATTATAAAACTTTGTGTATGGTTTAGTCTATAATGACCAATTTCTAAATAAAAATCAATTGAAAACTCAATTAAACATGACTCCGTATTAGTCTTATTATTATCTATATAAGATAAACTTCCATACCTTGAGATCATCACTGGGTTTGAAGCAGGCAAAATCAAGGAGGTAAATAGGGCGGGGCTTGGACATGAAGTAAACGGAGAGGGTGAAGACAAGCAAAGCAAGAAAAGACAAGACGGTGGCCAAGTCGTACTTGGCGGTGCTATCCCAAAGCTTCTGCCACAGCTCCGCCCTACTAAGGCTCCCGACCTCCACGCCGAAAACCAGCAACAGGAGCGGCACGGTGGCCAAGTATATCCCATGGTTTATCAGGTTATGATACCCTAATTTCACGTACTTGAGGTTCACGGACTGCACGAAGTCCGGGAGCCGCCTCCGGACCCTCACTGAGAACGTCATGGATCCGGCATCCGGTCCCGATGATTGGATGCCGCGGTTGACGATCTCGGTGGAGAGAAGGTGTTCCTCACCGCCGGAGGCCATGCCTTAATTGGATCTCTCTTCACTATCTAATAAGCAGCTGGTCTTAATTTTGCTAGCTAGCTAGCTTGGAAAGACTTAATGGCGGAATTGAATTGAAGTATGGTGGTTGAAGGATATGATAGCAAAACCTAGCTAATAATGAAAGTTATTTATAATGAACTAAGTTAGATAGATGGATGAAGATAAGTGTGTGTGAGTGTGGGGGGGAGTTGAGGGTTCGGAGAGGTACATTTATTGTGGAAGATGAGCGATATAAGATGGAGCTAGCTAGATGGTACGTACGTGACAGACTGACATAAATAATACATTTACTTCCGTCACTTGCTACAAATAATAATAAAAATAAAAATAATAATAGAAATAAAAATAAATAAAAATAAATAAATAATAATAATAATAATAATAATAATCCATACGGAGTAATAAACTTCCCATTTTATAGGGATATATTGATTGATGAACGTAACTAAAATACGAAGTACGGAGTATTAATTTTGTATTGCGCAAGTATTAATACGGATTTGTGAATTGTGATAATTGACCATTTTAGAATCAACTTTCATTCGTAGTGGACTTTTGTAATTCAGTCTCCAATTAGATGTATAGTTTGTGAGTTTTCCAACCAATGCATTATCTTATAGCCAATCCACGCATGCAATTATAATTAGGAAAATAGAAAATCATAATAAAAAAAAATTCTCAACTTTTTGTTTTGTTTTTTTTTACTCCAGGGGATCTGGGGGAGGGGGCTGGGGGAGCCTGGAGTAATCAACCCTTGTGTGCCCAGCGGGATTCGAACTCGAGACCTCCCAGTAGGCACGGTAACCTCACAACCAGCTGGACTAGAATGCTTGGTTAAATAATAATAATAGTAATCTCAACTATTATTGTTGCACTATTAATAATCTCAAGTCCCAACTATCAATTATTTTTGTATGTTCCCGAATATAGGGATCATTTTTCAAAAATAGTCCATAACCGGCTATAACATGGTATATATAGCGGGTCAATTTTAAATATGAACGGTATGTATGCTATAAATAATCCCAACCATATTTGATCTTTTTTATTAATCTCAATTATCAACTCTTAGTTTTTGGAAGATAGAGAAATATTTTTATAACTTTCCAAACTAAACATTTTTTAACATGTAAAAAAGAAAGAAAATTCTATAAATGTTCTGAAGTTAAATTAAATAATTTTTAGTCCTTTTTTGATTTATTTTCACTCGGATTTTATGTTTTATTGTTTTCCAATTTGTTTTTCCCAGTTGTGATACCAACTTATGATTTTGTATTATTTTACCTTATTCAAATTTACATTTTTTGTTTTTGAAACGTAAATTGGGATTAATTTTTTTACGATTTAGAGCTTTATTCTAACTTTTTTCATGAAAATATATTTTGTTTAATTTTGATATCTTAATTCAAAAAATCTAAATTTTCTATTTTTTCCATTTTAGTATTTTTAATTTCTTTCTACTTTCTTTATTCTATATTAATATATTCTATAACTTATACTACGTATTATATAGTTTATCGTTTAATTTTAGTGTTTGGGGTATAAGTTTGGAGGTTTTGGCTATTTATAATGAAAAGATATTAATATTATTACCTATGTCCTAAATTGTTTTGAAAAAACAACATTTTTTGGTTAATCAATTTTAAATTTAATCCTCTGCATTGATAATTAATAACTAATTCAATTTTAATCATTATAATTTACATGTTAAGAAACTACATTAAAATCTATATAAAGTTAAGTTGAATAATCCAAATTAAAATTTAATTACAAATTTATATCCTAACTAAGTGAATAAAATGAATTTATTTTACTTAAAAATAAATTTTGCAACTTAATTTGGGAATGAGGGAGTATCATATTAAGTGATATAGTGTGTAACACCGTCCCCCAAGTATATTTACTTTTATGTAAACAATGTATTGAACCTTATGAAATGATTAATGAATTTACGAGGTTGTACATTTTTCTTATTTCTTTTGCGTGAATAGTAAATTGCAAGTGGGGCCCACATCGGGAACGGGGACCACCCAATATTTTTGGGACCACATATTATACTATCCTCCGTTCTCTTTTAATCGCAACATTGGACTTTTTGCACTATTCACATATTCTACTTTGACTATATTTTATTCATTAATGTATTATAAATTAATTCTTAAAAAAATATTATTAAATTCTTCTCATTCTAAATTTTCAAAATAAGAATTTTTAAAATTTTTTACTAATAAGGAATCAAAGATATTAATGGTCAAACTTGTGCGTTGGGAAACGCGAAATGTTGACTGTTCCAATTAAAAGGGAACGGAGGAAGTATTAATCTTGGTCTAGATAATATGTATATGGTGGTGGATATTCTGGTTGGGTCACGGAAAAGGCATAGGGTTGACCGGTTGGTCAAATGAGGACCAATTACCGGTATTGGTAATTTATCATATAACAGCTCGAAATGAATTTCGGGGACTTCTAAATTAAAGTTGGGGAATGGAGATTCACTCTAAAGTCTTATAGTGATTTGGAACATGTGGTATATTTTATTTGATCCGATAAAATAAAATATAATTAAAACAGTCCAAGAAATACAACTTTCGGGGACGATTGTACACATCAGGACACAAATGGATGACCTCCCACATGGGTGGGGGCCACCCCACGTTTTGAGAGCTCAAGGTTGACAAATTGAGGCTGCTCAACATTGTTTGAAACGCTGGCATGGGTTGAGAGAGAGGTTGGGTGAGAAGTGACCTTTCTCTATCATTTTCGACCAACCAAGCAAAAGGAGGGGAGGAAGCTCTGCAAACATTATTCTTCCATATCTAAAAGCAAACCACAAGCAAAGAGAGAGCTCAAGGAAGGAGTTTGAGTAGCAAAATGTAGAAAACCTTGAGATATTAAGGTAATGGCTTCATTAAACTTTATTCTCCTTTTCTTGAATATCATATTGATGGAGAGTCATATGAAGAGACCCTAGGATTGTTCTACATGTCCAGAAGTGTAGAATGAGGGGTTGTAGGGTAGTTCTAAGTCCAAGAATGGACTTAGAAGCCAAAGTGACTGATTCGCCGGAAAATAACCTTTTAGAGGTTATTTGTGTTGATATAGGTTTCGTGATAATGAAACCTTGTTAGGAACTCTTTTAAGGTATTCCTAGAGCTTTCACAGAGTTGAAAGAGTTGTCGGAGTAATCGTCGGAGCTAGACAAAGTTTGTCATTGTTTCGCCGGAGTTCAACCGAGAGGGTAGAACTTCTTAAAGCTCATTCGAGGTGAGTGGACGGCTTAATATCCTGTAGCTCTTGGGTTAATTATGAGATTATCTAAGTAAATGTTATATGTTTCAATAATGATGTTTAAAAGAGTTTAAACATGTGATTAGCCAAAGTGATTAGGCTTAAATGAGATGAATTATTGAGATATGCATGAAATATGATTTTTTTTTACCCCGGAGGCAAACCACTAAAATCAGTGGGGCAAAAGTCGGGGGCCATTTGCCAGATTTTATTGAAACGGCTAGTAGATACAACGAAGGGAAGGACTAGACCACAACCCCTTCCAAGAAGATCAACAGAACAAGGAAAACGCATCGGAGGGACCAAACCTGACCCGAAAAAAGAAATAATTAAACAATTACCAAGCTATTCTCAAAGATGTCAGCCCAAACATATCCAAATAGACCGAGCTTCGGGCCGGAGCTGGCAATTCATGAATGTGTTTATAAATAATGGCCTGGCCCAAATAAGATTTTTCCAGAAGGTGAGCGGCCCAATTGCCCTCCCTCCAGACAACAAAAAAGGAAATGCCCTTGTGTTCAGACAGATTCAACAAGCGGCGCACCTCCACACTCCATCTTCCCACAAGTAATATACACCAACACCTCAGTGGAATCCATTTCCTCCTGAAAATCTCGAAAGCCAAGCTCAGCCGCCTAGGTCGTTGCATGAACCAAGGAAAGCAGCTCTGCTTCAAATTCTGAGGTAACAGATATTGGATATGAAGAAGCAATAATCAGCCTTCCATCACCGTCTCTCAGAATAGCACCTCTGGTTGCACCATGAGGTAAAAAACTTGCATCAACATTTAATTTAAGGGATCCCTTTGGTTTTTTCCAAGTAATGGCCTTAATCGAAGGCCTGGGTAGTCTGAAGGTCTTCGGTAAGAGTTCATCTTCATATAAGATCTGGCCTACTGTAATAGTTTTGGAAGTGATACTATTAATATCCCAAGTTTGAGTAAAATGTTTAATTTGATTAATAATACTCGCTGGAGTAGGTCTGCTGCCATCCACCCCCCAAATCAAATTGGTATAAGATTTCCAAATCTGCCAAGTAATGATTCCAGGAAGACAGTGTTTAAAAACATCATCCATAGTTTTACATCCTGCCTTAAGCCACCAAGAAATAAATACTTGTCTGACTGAGTCAGTTTGGTGAAGAATTGGTACTCCAAGAATGCCCATGAAATAGGTCCACACAGGTCTAACCCTCTCACAACTGTAGAAAACATGATCCTAACAATCTGAGTAAGCCCTACAAAAAGAGCAGATAGATGGATAAAGAGCAGCCTGAAATCTAGCCAGTTTGTCAGAAATAGGGAGTATTCCTTTTAGCAATCTCCATTGGAATAGTCTGACTTGCATTGGTAATTTAGGATGCTAAATGTGCTTAGCAGAAAAACTAGAGGGCAACTCCTCCCTGACTTCCTCATAAGCAGATTTAATAGAAAATCTTCCATCAGTAGTAAGATCCCAATAGAAACTACCATCAGTGTTTTGACCACATAGAGATTTAGCCATGTCATATCATATGCATGAAATATGATATGAAAATGGTTATAAAAACATATGTGATGTTTTGAAGGATAAAGAGGGCATAAAATAGTTGTTTATAACTTAATACACGTTGTAATTAAGTTTGACACGAATCGGACTTGAAATGGCGGGTCAACTAAACGTTGACTGGTTGCCCAGGGGGTAACCGGCACTGGTTATGGGTGAAATCGACGCCGGTTTGGGTACGGGGAGCCCGGTTTATAAATTTTAATTAATAACCGGAGCCGGTTATGTCTAAACCGGCGTCGGTTTGGTACTGTTTTTGCTTAAATGTTGATATAAGTGCATGATGGACAGTCTACCCGGGGGGTATCCTATCCGAGGGGTTATACACTACTAGAAATCTGCCTTATAGTGACACTTTTACAGTGA